AACAGAATTTCCTGTAAAGCGAATGGACCTCAGAGTCACAGATAATTATCAGGTGACATGTTCAGTCCTTCTTTTTTATAGCAAAAGAATCTGTATATGTGTGCTGAGGAGAGGTGTGGGAGAATTAGTTCTCTGAGTTTAAGAATCTGGCCTCAGCAAAGCCTGTGTGTTTTAAGAGAAGAAGGTTAGCTACTAGAATATAATCTTTCTTTTTTCTTCCTTTTTCAGTATAACTTTATTCTTATAATTTAAAAGGCTCCTTGAATTTTTAAAAAATATAATCATGATTCATACTACAATATCTGAAAAGAGTTTTTCAGCTGGGAGTACATTTTTACATTTCAGTCATAAATCCTTCAAAAAGGGAATTTATAGTGTTGGCACTGACACTTTCTTAATTACAGCATTGGAAACTTCAACCCTGCCTTATTGTCATATTTGGTAATGAAATGTTGATTACTTCCCCTGAAGAATAAAGCAAGGCATGAAAGAGAATCACAGGAGGACTGTCTAGGTGGCCTCATGGATATAATAAATAATGGTCACAAATAACGGTGGGTGCCACTTCCTCACAGGAGCTACAAAGGAAATACAGCTTCTCTGTAGAATATAGAAGTTGAATAGGTTTATCCCATCAATTGTGAGAAATGTTAAAGAGTCATTAAGCAAAAAAACAAGTATTTTAGAGACTGTCACTGACGGATTATATAGTCTAAGTATATATACACCATCATAGTATTTATACTGCTTAGCAGGATGTATATTAGCTGAGCTAGATTTTCTGGTTAGAGCTGCAAAACCCTTAAGCAGGAGTTTTATAGAGAAAACTTCATTTTCAAGTTTTCTTTTATGAACTTTTCATCTATGGGACTCTGAAGCAGATTTTACACTCATCATCAAGAGAAGTTGCATACCACCATGTCAGGATTAGAAGTCAATCCAGTTTCCTCTAAGAAAGCAAGTGCCAATTTGTGAGGGAGAAGTCTGTGGTCTTTCAGGACTAGCTGAAGACAGTGCCTGTAACTGTGGTGGTATTACCTCTGCAGAACCATTTACTGCTTCCTGGATGGATTTATGAGAGGGCACTCGCACACACATCCACATTAACTGTTTGGCTACTGGGATTCTAGGGGCCACTGAAAGCAAAGAACATGTTGCTTTTTAATAACTTTTATTCAAAAACTCATGTATTTTGTCACAGCTTTTCCCTTGCCAAAGAAAATTAAATTGCTTATGTACAGGATGTAGTAATCAAGGCTAGTCCTAGACTTGAGGTTGCTTGTGGTGGCCCAGCAGCCATTGCCCAGCGAGATGGCAGCAACTGCTGCAGTCTGGAGGGAGGAGGGGAAGGACATCCCTTGCAGTGATGGCTGTCACTGGCAGAGCAGTCCTGTACATCCCAGTTCCTCATGGCAACAGCTTCAGCTACACTGGGAAGCCTTGATCAGGTTTTAATGATCACCTTTTGTGTCTCAGAGGGCCTTTGTAGCACGAAGCTGACCACTGAGAATAGTGTCCAGCCATGGCAGCACAACTCAAGTAACGAACTTTACAGTGGTCCCACCTTCAAACACGATCATACCGTGTGACAGGTCCAACACCCTCAGCACCTCTTCACAGCATAACAGAGTTCAGGCTCCTTGCAAAGTGTATTTCTTGTAAAAGGTGTTCTAGTGTATACTTGGCTCCACTCTTATCAGAGTTACATTTTAATCAAGGTAAATTATTGTCACTTAATCATAATAATTAAAGTAAATATTGATTTAAAGTAAACTACTTAAGTCACTAGCGGAAAAACTGACATGAAGGAAGGGAGGTTGTACTTTTAAGTGACTGGCCTGTTGCCTGCTGCAATGTTTTTCAGAGTCCTAAAATGTTTAGCTACTCCCCAGTTCAGTCACCCTGTCCCTTGTTATTTGCAAGCACTGCATTTAAAAAAACTTCTGAGGAGTTACTGCCCTCTGTCCTCATACACAAAATACAGTAATATCCCTTACAATTTCTGTAACAATTTTCATTTGTATATATCAAAACAATTAAAAAAAAAACCAAAAGAATGGAAATCATTACTTCTCATTTTCAAAGGCATCAGGGCCAGGGAGTGAAGAGGTTTGCCAGAGATCTCACAGCAGTAGCATGCCTTGGGCAGAACATGGCTTCCAGGTTTTATACTAGCGTCCTGACTTAGGAATGGCATTTCCTCATAGCAAAGCTAGCTGTGCCAGAAGAAAAATTTTCATTTGTCAGAATTATCTTTTTTAAATTTTCAGTTGAGCAGAAAATCTGTGGTGTGATTTGGGATAATCAATAAAAACCTAAAAATACATGTGAGAATATTTGAGCTAAGTGTCAAAGTGGGTTTTTTTATACACATACTAACTAGCTATTTACATAGTGTCTTAAGCTGGTTTTGCTGGCTGCACAGAACACTAGTATATTTAAAGGGCTTGCAATCTCAACTTCAGATGAAATGTAAAATGCTACAGCAACACTATCCACAGTGATAAAATGCCAACAGTTTGTTACCAGTATTATCAACAGTGAGAAGTTCAACGTTACCAAGGCCTCAGCAGAACAGAAAAACTGCAGGAGGCTCTGCAGGGAACCACGAAAACTTTTCTCCTGTGCTTTTTAGGCTAATAAAATGAAAATCTGCCACAAAAACAATGTGATTGCAAGTTGGAAGCACTGAAAAAAAACCAGCATTTGACAACAGTTTTGAATGAAGTGAGTTGCAACTCATCAAGAAAAAGTCCAGATCTTCCCCCTCGTTACCTTTCAGCCTTTCATTTGTTTCCCACTACAGAGTAGCACCACGGGTGAGTTGAGGAGAGAAAGGCGCTCTGCTATCATCTGCTTCAGCCTCCCACTCACATGCATTATCCCTGTAAGCTCGGAGAGGCATAAAGAAGGGTAACTTAAGGCAGGCTGGGCACAGCGATGAGCAAGGCTGAACTGGAGCGTTTGGCCACTGCTCTGAACTCGCACGGGGAGCCGTGGTGGGATCTTACAGTGTGCTGTGCTGACAGGAAGGACACACACCGAGCGCGGCTGTCCTGTGCTCTCTTGCTGGTCGTTCCTCATTTTCCTCCCATTTTGCTGAAGTCTTAACGTTGACTTTGCTGCTGCTGGTGGAAGCTCTTCTGGGACCATTAAACAGATATAGCCCAGGTCTTTCTCAACTTTATATATGGCTGATTGCAGGGATTTATTATTATCTAAGGCCTTCCCGCAGAGTGCACAGGAAGGGAGGAGAAGTTCCTTGCATCTGTGCTCACTCATGCAAAGATCAGCTTTAATCTTACACATGCTACATCAGAAAAGTTTAGAAAAGCCCTTTAGCTAATCAAAGTGCTAGAATTAGCTGGGGATGTAGAGAGTGCACTGGTCCTGATACAGATAAGCATGTAATCATGTAAAAAGACATATCGAAATCTCACTAAAATCCAAATATGATTGAAAAATTAATGATGTACTTGAGTGATAATTTCTGAATAAGGATAGAATGAGAGATACTCTTCTGGGATATGCATTGCAGATGCCTGTGCCTTGGAAGAGCGTCCATCTGGTGTATCTCTAGGATCAGCATATTTGTATAGAATGCAAATCATTATTGCAACTGCTGTTATCTTTATGCACTGCAGTCATAACTGAATGAGTCACATTAAAGGGTCAAAACCTTCTGTTCTACATTTTATGATAAGCATCTTTTTAACATACAGTGTTAGAGATCTTGTGCGTCAACATATCGAGGTAGGAGTTGGTGTTGGGTGAGGTACGACAGACCCTGGCATAGGGACACAATCTTATTAACATATTTGTTAATATTTTGAAAGAGGAAATAAATGAAGGGGGAGAAAATTAAGATAATATATGTACTAATTACTAAAATCCTGAAGAAATTTGATATTTGAGATAGGCTGTTTAAGTTTTCTAGTCTCTCAAAATGCCTTCCAGCTTGCAGAACAAATCAGAGTAGCTGCGTTAGAGTCTGCTGGGTGCTCTGCTCTGGGGCTGGTGGGTGGAGAAGACGTGATACTGCAACCTATGCAAATGTGCTGAGGCCTGTGGTCTGTAATAGTGGTCTTCCGAGTACCGTGCGGAGCAAATTTAACTTTGCAGTCTCAGAAGAGACTCTGTTGGCAAAGGACCATTTTTCAGAAATTCAGGCAGATACCAACCACCACATGACATGCTCTATTTCTCAAATGCATCTGTTCACATACAGGTAGAGTCATATTATTTCACTTATCATATTAAAAAACATATATAAGAAGCCTTTCTCATCTCCCAACAGATTTTATTTGTGCTACAAAATTCAGAAAGTTTGCGATGTGTTTGTAAGTACCAGCTACCAACACCTTCTCAGTCAGTAACATCTGACTGAAAATCTGAATTTACACACTGTACAAGCTGTTTTAAAAACAAACACTAAATCTGAAGTTCACCAACAGAGAGAAAAACATGAAAAAACAACCAACCTTCTTTCAAGGGAAAATTTCTAACATGTCTCTCATTTAACAGGAGACAATGTCTAGAGTAAATAACCTAGCAATGTGAACTTGAACATGTTTATTTAGCCTGAGCTCCATATTGGAATTAATGAAAAATAGCTTGGTTATCTTCACCTGAACATCCAAGTCTTATTTGTGTGTGTTTGTAATGATATTACAAATTTCACGCACACACACACAAATTTGTTCCTCCACTTTTTTTTCTTAGACCAGACTAATAATTTTAAGATACCATCCCCTCTTTCAAAGAAAATGCTTTTTAGATTTCCTTTATGATTAAGAAATTCCTTTTATTCTGGGGCTAAACTACACAATACTTTACAGGAGAGAAGACAAAAACTAGAACACAGAAGGATCTGCCAGGTAATTTAAAGCCAACTGTCTACTCTCCAGAACCTTTCTGCCAGACATCAGGAGTTATTTAACCCCATTTCTGCATAGGATAGCTGCCCTGCTGATTCTTAAAGGCAGCAATACAGAGTTTACCTTTAATCCTGTGCAGAATAATGAATTATGTACTGCTGAGATTAGCGAGGAAGTGTCAAATGGAGGTTTCTTCCTCTGTGCTCTGATTCCACCTGGGTAAAAGAACACTGTTAAGAACCCTTAAGCATACAAAATCTCTAATCACGTTTTCAGCAGCTTGGGTCTTTTAGTTAATTTAAAATTAAAAAAAAAATGCTGTCACCTTTGATGACACTCTCTTCTCTTTCACCAGGACAGATTTTGTTATGGCTGTTGCTAACAGGGAAAGAAAAAAAAAAAAAAAAAAGGAAGTTATAAGAAAGAAAGTGGAACACTAATTCTGAAATATGTCACTTCCAACCAGCAAGACTCTCTCCTCTTCTACCTTCTTCATGGGCTGAGCTCTTTCCATGCTGTGTCACTTGAATCACGCATTCATAAAGCAGTAATGCATTAGTAATGTGCCTACCTGAGATCAATGCAACAATTGTTACTGTCTTCTGGTTTGTCTTAGGCAAATTCTGAATTCTTTGCTTTCTGGTTTCTAAACCTTTGCGATGCCCTCTCTTCCTGTTTTTAAGTTCTGTAACCAAGGGAGTTTATATTTTACATTTTTAACAAACTAAGAGTCTTATGGACTCTGCCAATTCCAGCAGCTGGACATTGAGGAAAACGTCTAGTATCTTTAATCCTTAAGGAAAAAAAAAACAACAAGCATGAGAATTGAAAGAGGGAAATAGATGAAAAGAAGGTTCCCTTTATGAACAACTGATAATTTGCACCAATTTTGACCTTTATTTTTAAAATAATTAAAATGTTGAAGCTGAAGAATATGAGTTTTCTATTGATTTATACTCAAATAATAATCATAATTTATAAATAGGTCTATAGAGAAATTTCTTTATAATTAAATATAATTTTTAACAGATTAAAACAAAATCCAGGTATTTATATCAAAATAGTGTTCAACTATGGCAAAACGGAGTTAATTTTCTGCAGTATTTTATGAAAACAAACCAAAACATTACAACATTTGACCAAAAAGAAAATATACAAAACTCAGGAAAAAAAACCCAAAATCATGCAGAAATATAACTGGAGAAGTGGATCCTTATAGGACCTCTAAAGAAAAGTAAGAACCACCTGCTCCCTGTATGTGACAGGCAGCAGCTTCCACTGGTCTGGCAGCACAGATGGAGGTAACACGCAGAGCTGCTGACTTGATGACAGAAGACTTCAGCGGGAAGAGGAGACCTTGGCTACTCCCGTGGAAGGAAAGCCTCGGTTACAAAGCAAAGACAAGAGCTAAAGTTGCTTTCTGGTGATTTCTGAAGTCTAACAATAGCCAGACTTTAGCACTTGGCATCGCAATAGCAATATAGTTGCAGAAATTACATATTTTGCTAAGAAAATAGCCCAAATACAGAAAAACAAGAGATTGTCAGCCTCCTCCTACAGTGAACATCAGCAAGGTACTTTGATGTAAGGGAGGAGACCAGTCATCAGAATCAGAAAAGACCAGGGCTGGAAAAGTGGATGTCTCAAACCCTTCTCATCATGTGTCATGCATACGCTCTGCTCTGTCTTTAGCCTACCTTCCTGTGAAGAGCAGCTTGCTGCCCCCAGAAGATGAGAGATAAGGTCAGTGGGAAAGCGAGGTATTGCCAGACTGTGGCTAAATTTTCAATTTTTTTTTTTCAAAGAGAGGAAATAATGTGTGCAGAGCAGCAGTGGTTCATACTGGGTCAGTCAGGAAGTGTGGGGCTGGGTACTTAAAAGACAGATATTTTTGTTTCATGTTTCTCTCAGAGAACAAGAGCATACAAGAAAACTTTTTTTTAGCTAAAAAATGCAAAGTTTGAGTTCACTTATAGTTAGCTAAGTTATCAATGGATGTCACATTTCAAGCAGAATAATACTACTTCAAGTGGAATACTTTGCATCTATGGCTGCAATTACTATAGAAATGCCATTATTATAGCAAAAACAGTGCTCCTTTAGATCGTAGCACAGATAATAGCAGAAGACAGGACAGGAAAACAACAGATTATTAACTCTATTCTGACAGGTGAAGGGCTGAGGCATAATTGGTTTGAAACTGAAGTTTCACGTACATCTTTATCCAGCACTTACAATGAAAAAAGGCAGTCCTTGCTTCCGCTGTCCTTGTCTGCCTCTTGCCATTGCCATCTCTACCCTGACTTTGCCCATGTAGATAAGAAAGAAGAGGGCTAAGGCATCTGAAAACACGAATCCAAAACATTGCGAATATTGCAAGTAATGGAAAAGAGAGAATCAGCTGGAAGTATGCCTCTTTAATTACAAAATGGCTTTTAATTTGGCTTTTTGTGATCATTACTTCTTAGCAGTAAACTAGCTGATCATCTTTACTGCTGTAAATGTTAATGAAAAATTAATGCGACAAAACCACTCAGAAATTCATAATAGTCCTTGAACAGCATAGTTGGCTGAAATACCTGGAATTTGATCTGCATGTTACACAGTTAGTTACATCTATCTTCTGATGAGGAAGCTGAAAAAAGTGGCTCTGTAATTAACCAAAGCATTGTGTGTTTTGAAATTTGTTAATGAAGAATCCACCCAGCCAAAAATGACTGATTCTTGTGATGACAAAAAGGAAAAAAAATCTATTGTGCCAAGACACCTACGAATACCTTATAATACAAAAGAAAACAGTGTAAGCAATTTGTCAATGATACACTAAAAAAAAAAACCCAGCATTTTGCAAACAGAAAAAGAATCACCAAGTTTTGTGAAAACCTCCATGAGGATTTAAAAAAAAAAAAAAAAAAAAGCCACACTAATAATTTCTGTTGAAATATTCAAGCAGAAAAATTGAGTAGAGCTGCCTTGGAAATGCTATTTCTTGCTGACATACCATTTATAATTTTTTTTAGACCTTCAAACATCATGGCTTTATTTATGTGTGTGCTGAGAACTAATTTGCTGCATTCCCAGGCCTGTTAAAAAATGGTGTTTAATCATTCTATCAAAAATCAGGCTCTGCAGAAAAATTTGGATCAGCTGAAGATAAAACAAGCTGCAATTGCTCCTCAGTTTAACTCTACCTTTTTTTCATTTTTATTGTTCAAAGCAAAGATGAATGTTTGGGGGATAGGCTGGTTCTACCTGCATAATGAAGACATTTTCTAATTAGTCTTCCCTCAAAGTGGAGAAGAGGAATCTTTCTGGATATGTTTTAGTTGAGAAGACGAGGAAAAAATGGCTGTATTTCTTGTACAGAAGTGCTGGGCAAGTGTAGAAGGAGAAGAAAGCCCAGTCAGGGTGACAATCCTAATTGATTTTACAGGAAATGTTTTTTTAAGAAATTACACGCACATTTTTAGCAGCTGATTTGCAACAACTTGTTCAGAAAAATACCCTAAAATCCCACCACCAGCACTCATTATTTCTGTACGGTTTGCTACAGGCCCTTGAGACCAAAGAGCATAATAATAAAACAAAGGACATAACTGGGGCTGTGGTTTTGTAGCATCAGGTCACATTTCAGACGCCGCTGTCTAATGTGCTGCTGTTGTGTGACCACTGTCAGGCCAGTTATATTCACACGAGAATGGTGGCGGCTCATTTGTTTGCCCATACCACTACGGGTGGAAGCCCCAGAGTAGGGCTAAACAAAAGTCTTGCAAAGCAGCCAGGAGAAAGCAGTGAGCTTTATGGAAAGCAGCTGGCAGTTCATTTTCTTTCCTTAGTTGACCTCAAATTGTTTGGACAGCAAATACGATGGAGGTCGATACGGTGAAGAGGACAGGGACAACTTTCTGCAGGAAGCGCTGTGTAGGCATCCTGGGACAACAGCAGCACTCAAAAAGACTGTGACCCTTCTTCAGGGGACTCAGAACATCCCATTGCAAGGTCATATTCCCAGTTCCCTCGTCACAGACGCTCTGCACAGCGCGGGGTTTGCATGTCTGGGCAGACGTCCTCCTGGGATCACAGCTGCGGCTGCACTCCTCTCCCCAGCTCCACAACTGCTCCTCGGTGACTTTGGGTAAGGTACTCTGTGCCTCAGTTTCCCAAGCTGTAAAATGGAGAAGAGGATACTCCTCTTTGCTGAGATCTTCTTGCTTCAGGAGTCCAGGAGGCAGTATTTGTGAATACAGAGTATTCATCAGCAACACAACTGTATTCTCAAGCACCATATGATAGAATCATGTTGGCAAAAAAAAAGAAACATATTTAAAAACATCAGTTGTTTATGGCAACCTTAACAACTTCTATACTAGTTTCCTGAAGGCAAAGGATTATGTAATAAAAATAAAGTCAATATTATAGCACTGAGATTTGAAATTAGCATGATAAATTGAATTTTAAAACAATACTGGCACTATCATGTACTTGCAGATAATAAAATAAAACATAACAGAGCAGATGATTTATAGATACTGCCACTGAGAATATAACACAGGAAGAGACTTCCAAAGTAATATTCCTATTCATATATGTCACATTACATTTATATGTCTCTTCTGTTGTGTTTCCCCAAACTGGAAGGCTGTGGTGTGTGGACTGTAATCCTCAGTCAGCAAACTCGCACCAGTTCCAGTTCCGCTCCTCCTGCCTAGTCCCCTCAGTGATGATAAGGCAGCAAGCCTTCCATGAGCCCCTGGCTGCTGAGGTTTCAAACCAGTGACCCAGAAACACCAGTGAGCACCATTGCATTATTCAGATCCCTAAAGTTCTCCTCCAGGAGGTTAAAATATCAGCTATGCTCTTCGTGAGCACTCTGACACTTCTTTTGTTACACATACCAGGATTCGTGCCCTTTCTTCTTGTACCATCTATGTCATCCTCCCTTTTAATGATAAACTAATAATGGCTAAATGAGTCCAAATGTACCAGGTGTTTCCATCATCAAGATCTGTTATTTATGCTGTGCATTTCTACGAGCCATGACAAAGGCACGAGTTCACAGGAGGGAGAGGAGAGACACGACTGCTTTTCTTATCACTGGGGACTGCAGGGCAGAGAGGAAGGAGCAACACAAGCTCCACTGGCAAATTATTTCATTGCCATAGGCTGCAGTGTATACAGCTTATCATGCTTGGGCATACGAACAGAACTGAAATACAGGTAGGATCCCCATCCTGAGAATAACCCTCCTCAGCCTCTCATCTGTCTCTGCTGTGTCTAATCTTCTCGGTTTTTTGCTTTGCTGCTTCTTCTGTGATACCATGATGCCACTCACTGCCTACATCCAGTATTAGCAGGTAGAAATGTTGCTACACTCAGCAGAGGCATACAAGTTTCCGGCTTGGCTCCTAAGCACCTTTCTTCATGCTGCACACCCACTGGATTTTTTTTATTGCTCTCTTTCAAAGGGGAAGTATAATCAAGCTGATAAATCTAACTGCATCAGCAAAGTCACCTCCAGACACCCCAACAGCCACCAGCACGAGGTCTACTCCAGCCCTCTGACAGCTATAAACCCCTGCAATGACCAGAAAAGATGCTATCTGTCTCTGCCACAGCCCTTCACCCATCCATAGAAATGAAATTGCACAACACAACCAAACATTTTCATCCCACCTTCACCAGTTATACCTGCTCTTCCCAAGGGTGCTGCGTTTGTGCAGACACATGGTAAACCAGGTCAAGGAACTAATCCGGAGTAACAACAGCCATGTTTTGTTTGCCTGCCACCAGGAAAAGAAGGCTGCCTTTCTACTGCATTGCACTTTATACAATTATGCCATTACGGTAGTTTTTAGGCTTCAAAATCTTGGCTTTCTCAGTTCCTCAGTGATTTTTCATCATTTAACTCATCCACGCAGGCTACTTAGTGCCTAGTGATCTCTTTCTAGATAGTTTACAACAAAGATGGATTAAAGATCAACTTATCTATTAGCTCAGCTGTTTTAGTCTGCCAGCTTGACTTTCTCCCAGAGATAGGCCAGTTTAGGAGCTTATCTTCTCAAATCTCCTCTTGCACATGTGACCTATATTTGAATATGGCACATATCCCATGACACGGCGGTTTTAGTCCTTTGCATGCTATACGTTACTAGTCATTGTACAAGGAGCTTTCTTTGGTTTCAGTAATTGCTGCATGAGTGCACACACAGTTGTGCATCGTATTGCAAATATTGTCTTGGGATTTAACAACAGGGAAGTGAACAGTAACAACAGCCTTGTACTAAAATTAAGCCTAAATAAAATTAAAGCAAAGTTCTACTAAGTTATAACTAGAAATGGCTGCAGGATACTGTGCTGGCTGCATTGAGAATACCAGAGTTTCTCATAGCTGAGAAGCAGACTGAGTTCAGACTTTCTTGATAGTTAGATCTATAATTTGATACTTCTATAAAATACAATGTTTACTAGTAACAGCAGGAAGAAGAGCCTAATGCAAACAAAATATTTACTGCTACCATCAGGTTTGGACATTATTGGACATTTTTTATATCTATTCAAAGCAGGGCTCAAGGCTGTGTTTAGTCTTCAGGATGAGTAATATTTTCCTAGGTAATGGTTTACTCTTGGGAGGTCTAGATGGTTAGCTTCCTGATAACCTTGGATGGAGAGCATTAGTGAAGAGCAAAATGACATTATAAAGGAAAAAAAACACCGAAGAGCAGACAAGGACTGCCTGCCTGGACAAGCGCAGATTGATAGGTTGGTTTGTTAGATATATATTTCAAGACCTTACTTACAGAAGCTCAGATTTATTGCTGAACAGGGATTTGAATGTGCTGAAGTCCAGCGACGACCAATTTTCAGTACTATTACTGCAGAAAGGGTTACATCAGCACTTGCAAAACTGCCTGCGAGCCTGTATTAGCGTTCACAAATGAAAGATGTCATACTTTGAATTTGCCCAAAACAGGCTCATTTTCTTTCCAAGGCATGCCATGCGAGGGCAGCAGAGATTGTGGAATGGGGAGCTGCTGTGCTGGGGCTCTGCGGGGACAGGGGTGGCACTGACCAGGTGTCCCCAGCCCCCCTGTCTCCTGCCTTGGCTGCCTTTGTGGCTGCTGGGGACAAGCTGCAGGGACTCCTGCAATCTGCACTGGATACCTCCTGGAACGTGGAGGCCGTGAGGAACCAGAGCCAGTATCCAGAAAATCAGGCGATAAGTAAGTCTCTACTGAGGCCACAACATATTAAACTTTTAATATTTTTTTTTGTTTTAGTTCTGATGGAAACACGGCAAGAAGCACACACAAAACACAGCTCTGCCTCAAGCCAGCAAATGTCACATTCTCAAGCTGAAACATTAGCACAAAAGTGGTTGAAAAGGAAAATACTAAAGTTTGAAAACCTGTTTTAGAACAAGTGCACGTTCACATCCCTCACATCCTGCGTCCACAAACAACTAGTTTACTTCAGCAGCAAGTTTCTTTAGAGCAGATCCCGGGCCTTCAAATTTTCAGCCTCCCAAAAATTTATAAACAAATATGTATAAATACATGAAAACAGAGTAGGATAATGGGAGGTATTGGGTGGCCTTTGAAGTAGGCAACACTACTCACCCCACCTGCAATGCAAAAAGGGGAAACAATACAGAGCACCCAAAGCCTGCATGTGACTTTCATGTTTTGACTGCAGAAAGCTCAACACCGAGATTTTGTCTGCACCTGACCCTGATTTCCAGAGTCTCAGTTAAGTCTGTTTGGCTTGGTGAGACTCAGCGATTATTTTACGAAGAAGGAAATGGTGTCGTTCATCACCCCATGAGGCGAAACCACAGCTCTAATTCTTTCCTTGCGTACTTGTGCAGTTGCCATGAGGTGGAGTTGTGCACCAAATCCCAACCATGAGTAAACG